AGAGGGGCGGAGACGAGGTTATCACCAGCGAGGGCGGCGGCGTAGGAACGCGCTGATGCCATTTCAGACGCCGTCGATCAGCACAAGCAGCGCCCGCCGCGGTGCAGCGCACGCCGCGGTTTAGTCACAGGGCGTGAAGCAGCACACGCCGCGGTTTCATCGTAGGGCGCGAAGCAGCGCGGAGGAGGAAAGCCTTGCGTTGCTGGGCGCGAAGGAATGACGAGCGCAGGCAAGTCAAGTGAGCGAGCTAGCGTCAGTGGAAGCCCGCGAACTCTGGCGAGCGGATTTGCGGGACGACGCAGCAGGTCTGCCGCAATCGACGCCACCAAAGCCGTGAGAGTGGAGATCGGGGCAGCAGTGATGATCGAAACACTAGGGTTCGCCATGGGGCGGAACCCTAGCAGAGCGGCGAGACAACATTTTTTAGGAAATAACAAGATATAAATAATCGTTCAAGTTAATAAACCTTATTTCTAATTTAGAAATATAATAAATTGAGACCCCTCAAAGATCAACAACACCAAATAGCCAGCAAATATCCGATTCGGCGCGAAACAAGGCAGAATCCAATCACCCCACTTGCGGGATCGCAAAAATCCCGTGGAAACTTCTCCATCGAGGTGGGATTTGATCTTAGTTCATCGATATCACATCACATGATCATTCCAGAAAAGGAAGAACCCCTCAATTGCGGGACATGGTATTCACGAGCTCCAGCGTCTCATAAAAAGAGAACAATGCTTCTTTTAGGAATTAGTAAAGGAGTTTTAGGAAGAAATTATTTTGAAAAATATTATGAAAAAATATTGATATTTATTAAAAGTCATTGCAAAGAGGGTGATCTAGGATCAGCTTTCGAATAGGCTTAGAGATAAATCATTAGGCCTAGATGAGATTCCTATCAATATTTGGAGAGTTATGAGGTATATCATCTTGGTTTTGTTAAAAATAAATTTAATTGAAAATTTTAAAACTGTTGAAGATGCTAAATAACTGGAGACAAAACATTTTGTATCAAATTTTAGAGGAAGATGTTTGAGATTATGCTAGACTACAATGGAATCAAACTTATGAATCATACTTGTAAGGTAGAGAGTGTAATGGATTATATGCTTAAAATTTACGTCAATTTTGGAGAATTAATTCAATCTAATGCAAAAAAACTAACTATGAATTTCATCTTCGTGTTATTAATAGTAATGGAAAAGTATGAAGAGCGGAAAAAATTCAATGGAAAAGTACTAAGAGCACAAAAAATTATTTTCGTATGATTGTTATTAATCTTAGGACGGCATGTTATCAAAACAAAAAAAAAATTGATTGGTTGGTTAAGGAATGTCCGTTTAAATTATGTTGGAGTTCTTTTAGATATATATATTTAAAGACAAATTTATTGATAAAATTTAGTGAGTGGGTGCAAAACCCACTTACAAGGTATACAACACACACAAAAAGGTAAAAAAGTACAAAGTATACCCAAACAAAAAAGAAAGAAAAATAACACCAAAAATGGCTCCAAAACAACCATTGAAGTGCTGAAATGACATATGAGGACTCATGTGAGGAAATGATCTTGAATGGGGTGAAGATTCTGTAATTTGTCACCGCAATACTATCAGACGATACCCAAATAACCCTTAATTACAACGTCAAATAATTGTGTTGAAGATTAAATCTGTACGTGAAATGTAAATAAAAGAGGAGGGGGGGGGGGGGGGGGGGGGGGGCTAA